ACCCAGCTGGCCTTGAACTCACAGAGATCTGCCTGCCTCTGCCTCCCAAGTGCTGGGACTACAGGCGTGAGCCACCACGCCCAGCTAGTGTTTTTTTGTTTTTTTTTGTTTTTTTTTTTGTTTTTTTGTTGTTTTTTTTTAATAGCTTACCCATCATCAGGTTTCCTTCCAGCCTTCTCATACGTCTTTAGTTTTGGTTGATCCTCTACACCCTCTCCTCTCCTCCATCCCTTTGTCCCTGCATTTAACCCTTCCTCTGCTCAGTATCCTCACTTCCATTTCATTTCAATACCTCCTCACCTCGCACAAGCCCCTTCTGGTTTCCCAGCTGTACACACACCCACTCTACCTGAATGCACATATATAATGACTGGCAGCTAGGACTCACATACAAGAGAAAACATGCAGTGTTTCACTCTCTCACCTTGGGTTACTTCACTTAATATAATATTTTCCAATTCTATCAATTTTCCTGAAAATTTCTTTGTTTTCCTTTACAGCTAAATAGGAGAGAGCCAACTTCCTCAAGTTGTCCTCTGGCTTCTACATGCACAATGTCACATTCATGCACACATACAAATAAATGTCAAAAATTAATACTAAGTTTAGACTGCAAAAAAATGCAGAGAGGATAAGTGGCTTCTCAAAGTCATAGCAGCAGTGACAACAGTGAACCCAAGTCCAGGACTTCTAAGTCCAGTACATACGCAACACCCCAATTAATAAAAGACTGATTTATCTGCAAGCATTTACTGAGTATCATCTACTACTTCAGTTTGACAGATGAGGAAATTGAGGTTCAAAGAGATTGTCTATTAAGTGTCAGAAATGGATGCAAGTCCAGTCCATCCGACTTCTATACTTACTGCAACATAGTCCCATAGCCATGAGCCATACCTGTATGACAGAGTAATAGAATAAGCATCATTCCTGCTCTCTATCTATTGAGAACAGAGTTGCATAGAGTGGCTAAGACCATCACTGGATTAGTAATTAGAAATACAAAACAATATGGCCCTGGGAGCCGAGAAGTGGTGTAGAGAAAATGTGACATGGGAGATGTTAGAAAAGCAGGTGTAGTTTTATCCAGACAGGCTGCACTCTTTAGCAACAATCAATCCCCAAATCTCGGCAGCATGAACAACAATTTTTATTTCTCAGCACCGGTGCATACCCATTACAGGTTGACTATGCTCTGATTTGAGTCTTCTTTATTTCTGGATAAAGACTGACAGAGCAGCTATCCGAGTGAGAGAGCCCGAGTCATGTGTCAGCCTTTAGAGCCTCTACTTTCCCATTTCACTAGATAAAGAGAGTCAAATATCCAGACACAACTTTCAAAAGGTAAGAAAATACAATCCCATGAGAGATTCAGGAAAAGAACCAGAAACATAGACAGCATAATGACCCCCCCCCCCACCAACAGGTGCAAGCTGCACCAAGCCCGGGGCCTCGCCTAAAAATGTGCTTACATGGCATAAAAGGAGGTTAACAGGGATTTTCTAAGGAAGACTTTTTCTAGTAGAGAAGTGAAGGAAATTTCGCCAACAGGAAGAGTTTTTAACATTTTTGTTTTGTTTATCTATTTATTAGTTATCTGTTTATTATATGTGTATGACGTGAGGGGCATGTGCATACTATGGTACACATGTGTAGATCAGCATACAACTTTGTGGAGCTGGATCTCTTCTCCCACTGTGCATTCTGGGGGTTGAACTCAGGTGGCAAAACTTGCACAGCCAGTGATTTTACCCACTGAGCCATCTTGCCAACCCATGGAAAATCTTTTGCCAAGGAGTACTCAGGAAGAATTTCAAGAATAGTGGGAAATGGGAACTGGGTGACAAAGCTAGAAAGAACTTTGTATGTTGTGTTATGCGGTATGGGCTTTATCTTTGAAGGTCAAAATTTTGAGGCAGAGGTTTAACATAATTAGATCTGAGGTTTAGAATGATCTCTGGCAATGGTATAGCAAGAAGGCTGGTTAGAAGATCTTTGCAGTGATTCATATGAGATCTGGTAGGGTTTGAACTCAAGTGGTAGCAAGTTGAAACACATTTAAAGATAGCAACAAGGTTTAGTGACAGGTTAGATACAAAAATAAAAGTTGAAAGATAAGAAGTCAGGCATGATCATGCATGCCTATAATCCCAACATACGGGAGGCTGAGGGAGGATTATGAGTTCACGAATAGTATGTTCAAGACCAGTCTTTGGTTTTTGTTTTGTTTTGATTTTGGTCTTTTTGAAACAGGGTCTCCCTGTAGCCAGGCTGGCCTGGAACTCTCTGTGTAGACCAGGCTGGCCTTGAACTCCCACAGATCTGCCTGCCTCTGCCTCTGCCTCTGCTGGGATCAAAGGTATGCACCACCATGCCTGGCCTCAAGACCAGTGTTGACTACAACACAAGATCCTGTCTCAAAGGAAACAGGGGCTAGAGAGATGGATCAGCAGTTAAGAGCACTTGCTGCTCTTGCAGAGGACCTGGGTTCAATTCCCAGCACCCACATGGCAGTTAACGACCATCCTAATTCCCGTTCCAGGGGATCTAATGCACTCTTCTGACCTCCTCGGGCATTACACGACACGGGTACACTTTCATACATGCAGGAAATACACTCATACACATAAAAAAACAAAACAGAGAAAGGATAATAGCTATCCATACCAGGGTTCAGTTTCTCCATGTCCTTAGCAATTCAGCTCTGCTGACTTGTACAACCTGACTC